GGAGAGGGGAGAGGGGAGAGGGGTTGGGCAGAGAAAAAAAAGATGAAGCAGCGTTTTCATACAGACTTCTGCATGGAACTAAATTAAAACCTGGGTTGTATTTCTCAGTGACTTGCTTCTTCAGGTAGAAGTGTCCTACATTCCTGCAACAGTGAAGCATAAATGCTTACAGGCACGTGAACTTTTCGAAACATCTCAGCACCCTTGTGTGCGTCCATCAATGCAATGTCCTGGGGTGTGGAGACAATCACAGCGCCTATAACCAAAAGAAAACAAAAAGACAGAAAAACAATGCTATCATTTAATTCTTTATGGAAAGGTTACTTCCAAAATTATGTTGCTTACATGCTAAAAGAGTCTCCTATATTAACTATTTATGTAATTTGTATAAATTTTACATACATGAATGGGAAGCATAAGGAAACGTCTACTTTGCTCTTGCCTATTTTTGACTCCTCACTTCTAAAATTACAATTGACTGACCAGTGATTCAAGATCAGAACTCTCGCAGCAAAACCTCCTTCCCATTCAGACAGCATGCCACAGGGGAGACGCACAGGCCGGCGTACTCTCAAGAAGCTAACAGTCTACTTAGGGAGACCAAGAAATTAAGGATTACGACTCAGTGTGCTAAGCATTGTAACAGGCGTGCCTAAGGTGTTACGGAGATCGAAAGGGGAATAAAGAAAAAACTAATTCCATCTAGGGGAGAGGAGGGAGAAAGTGATCATGGGTGGGGTGAAGAAGCAGGAGAGAAGGAGACACAACAGAGGAAGGTTCCCAGCAAGAGCTGATCCTGAAGCTCAGCTCTAAAAGTCTGTTACAGAAAACTCACCAATGTGGAACACATTGTGGAAAATAATTTGGTGGGGGCAAAACTAGGTGCTGAGCAAAAATTCAGATGCGAAATAGTGGTGGCCTGAACCAAAGCAGCAGTGAGAGTAGGTGAACACGGAGGCTTTCCTGGGTCTCCACTGTCACCCTGCAGAACCCAGATGGTTCTATGTATGACATGGTGCTTTGAGAGAAAGTGAGAGGCCTGGCTATGACTTGCAGAGTCTGTGAATTTCTTAAATTTTGTGGTTTCTTCTAAATGATAACCTGAAAAGTAATTAACACGAGCATATTCTAGAGCACTTGGATAACCATCATCGTATAGCTCAATACACACTGCCATGGCGTCTCCGAGCCAAACCAGCAAACTGGCTCCAAGTGGCAGTACTTCGTCATAGCTACTAAAAACAGAGGTAGGATTAACAATAAATAACCGAGTGCACCAAGCGAAAGTCAAATGATATTAGACTAGTGTCTGACGGGCTATTTTAAAGAAGTCAGACTAGAGAAAAGTGGCAGCGGAACCAAGTTATCACAAAGCACGTGGCAATATAGGCATGCCAAACTCAAAAGAACTGTGCAACAGCCAGAGATCATCTTGCAATCAGTATTTTCATTTCAGTAAAAACTTCATCTTTCGCACTGAATTAATATAATTTGAATTTTATTGATTTTGTGTTATTTGTATTTATTTTGTAAATTTTTTAAAGTTTTTTAAAAATGATATAAGAGCTATAAGCTTAAGGAATTTTGTTTACACCTAGTTAAATAATCTTATAAAAATAAGTCAATATGAGATATGAAGCAGATTATTTTTCCTTTTGAAGGAAGGTCTATTCATTACTCAAGTTAGAGAAACACTAGCCTTGGAATTCAAACATAATTAGAATTAAAACTTTTTATCCCCTAGCCAAGCGGACCTGTGTGACTAGGACAAGAAACTGAGATTCTGTTTCTTTATCTACAAAACGGCATAGTAATACTTAGGACACAGGGTGAAATAATTAAATGAACTAATGTACATAAGGTGCTTGACATGATGCCTAGACAAAGGGTAGATATTCAATAAATGGTAGCTGTTGTTAATAATATTATCAGTATTATCTTTATTACTGGTACCAATAAAATGCCTTACAAGTTGCTGAGAAGGTCGCTTCCATACTTGCCATCAGGCAGCTCATCCTACCTCTCAGCCTGTTCCGTGGATCACTACAGCCTTCTATTTTAATTTGCTCTGCCCAAGAACCCAGAACCTAGTCAAAGTTCTCTTTCCATTCTTTTAAGATGGATGGAAATCACATCTCTGCAAGTTATACTCAAATCAAAAACTATACACATCCAATATATTTCCACAATTCACCACCTTCTAGATTCTGTTACTAATCTATTTCATTTTTTTTTCATATCCAGGCATTTGGAAGGGATCTAATTCCAATTCCACCTCCATCTAGCAGTGTGACACTAATCTTGGGCAGGTAACTCAGAACCACTCTAGGTCTCAGTTTCCTTAGATGTAAAATTAATGCAAGGACTACACAGTCTCCAAGGTCTCAGCTAGCTCTCTGACGGTATGATTTAGCATTACTTCTTAACTATAGTTTCCAAAACCCTCCCTGTTCAACCTGACTGCCTTAGTAAACTTATTTAAGTGAATGTGAAATGCAACCTCCCCCAAGAATTATGGTCCTTCAATCTCCATATAAATGACACCCCCTTGGCTATTTCCTTCAAATCCTCTCCTTAACTATATACTAGTATATAGGGAGTTTTCTATTGCATTAGCCCTAAAAAGCACCTTTAGCTTTTATATGATATAAACATTTTATTGTTTTAAATATCCTCTGACTGCTATTTGTATTACTGCTACACAATATAGTTTCATGACCAGTTATGATTTTTCTCATTTTTTAAATCAAGCAAAACTAATGACACAGTGACTTGCACAAAACAGGCACTTCACAAAGGATTGGTGATTTAAACAATGTCCCTATATTTTCAAATCATACCCCTACTGCTGCATGAACTCTTAGTAAGTTACTCCTTGAACTATGCTAATGTACTATATAATCTTGAGTAGCTCACTAAATCTCAACAGGTCTCAAATTAGTCTTCTATATAACAAATCTATTTCTATTGGTTCTATTTAATTTAAAACGCCGTTCCACTAAAACTATGTAATAGTGTTATAAAAATGTCTGGTGACATTATTTTGATAGGTGTAAGATCCTAGAGAATTAAAGTCGCTTGGTTTTCTCTGTGGAAGGGGTCAATAGGGAGAAAAAGGGACATCTGTAATATTTTGAACAATAAAAAGACAAATGAATAAATAAAATAGTCATGGGGATATAAAGTACAGCATAGGAAATATAGTCAATAATATTGTAATAACTATGCATGTTGCCAGGTGGGTACTGGAAATATCTGGGGGGGGGTCAATGTGTAAAGTATGTGATTGTCTAAGCACTATGCTATACACCTGAAACTAACACAAAATAGTGTTGAAAGTAAACTACATTGAGAGAGAAATAAGTTAAATAAATAAGAAAGGAAGGAAGGAAGGAAGGAAGGAAGGAAGGAAGGAAGGAAAAGAAAGAGAGAGAGAGAGAGAGAGAGAAAGAAAGAAAGAGAGAGAGAGACTTGGTTTTCTCTGTAGTACTTAACTTTAGCACAGTGTCACAAATAAACATCCATGCCATCTGAGTTTCTTTGTGGAGTAATCTAAATAGTACCTGTCATACATCAATTAATAACAACTTTGTGACAAGGACAATGATCATCTTCCATGTCCCATCAAATGCTCACAAAACATATAAACATTCCATTGGAACTACCAGCCACATTTGTAAAAGATTTTTAGTGGAAGTTTTTTCCCCCTGAAATATATGCCTTTAACTAATAACTAAGCCCTTGATCACAAAACAATCAGTCTTTAGGACATTGCTCAAAGAAAAAAATTTCTAGACTTTTTCTTAAAGAACAAAAAAATAGCTGGCTCACACATAAATAAATCACTACCTCTTTTGCTGTACCAAATCTTAATAATCATGTATGCAACCATTTCTGACTGTCCCTACAATGACTGTTAGCATTTAGGATAAAGAAATAAAGCAAACAAAACCCCAACATCTTTAGTAAAATTAAATTTAATGATTAATCAATCTGTGCATCACACCCCAGATTTTTAAATTTTAAAGAAATTATGTCAATTTTTTCTTGTAAATATATCCTCTAACTTAAATATTGTCTCCAAATATGATATTACATTTTTTATCTTTATGGTTCTTGGCCTTTTACTTTATAAATTTTTATTTTTCTCAGGGCTCATGGAACATGAACCAATATATATGAACCAATATGAACTAGCTTAGCTTTTTCCCCTTTATGCCATCACTGATGATGTCACATGTTTTGTGGTAGAGGGTTTGTTAGAAAACTTGTGCTCCCTCTACTGACCATAAGGAATGTCAGTAGCTACAAAGAGAATGTTTAGTTGGCAATAAATGGAATTATTTTCTGGGGGGAAACACAGTATCATAAAACACCTATCTCAAGATGAATTTTCTATCTGTTTTCTAGGGTAAATGTCTAAGTCCAAACAATTAAATAGTATTGTTTATATGCTATTTCCCAAGTTGTAATTTTTTTAAGGCTTTTTACCAGCTGAGATTTACTACAAAAGCTTAATTTACTAAAAAAGGATTCTGGCAAATAAGTAAACATCCTAAAATATAATTATCTAAAGTATTGATTGCCTTCATTGCAAATTCTCGACTATTAAGAGTAAAACCTATTTATAACTGCGTATATAGATTTGAGTCGTAGTTCAAAGTAGTTAAACATCTAAAATTGGTTATTCCCGATGTTAGGATGATCATAATTACACCAGTGTGGAGCTATAAGACTCTGCCATTCTAAGTCCCCAGGGCACAAACTGTATCCTATTCCGAGGCTTGACTGAGACCTTCAGTGTTGGAACCTAATAAATATGTACAATAAAAACTGCTTGTAATTATATCTGGGTGAGTAATTCTATGTCTTACAACTCTTGAGCATATCACCGTAAAGTCAACTAAGACTTAAAAGAACAAATTAACTCCTATATAGTTAATGTTTACAGTGTTCTAATAGTGTTTCTGATTCTCCTTGGTTTATTTAAAGATACTTACAGCCAAAGAAAATAACCATTCAATTTCTGTTAGCTTAATGCAAATAATATCAAATATACAATTGTTTATAGAGTGGATTGGCTTTGGTATTTTTTAGCTCTCTCTTGTCTTTCTCTTCTACAACCCCCAAACTTCCCAAATTATAAACATTATAAACATCAAGAAATGCCCAATAATAGTAGTATCAGATTAAGTAAAACATGATTAAAAAGGTAAAATCACTTCAAATATACTCATATACTATTTCAAAAGGAAATACAAATAATTATTTCATGAGTCACTGTTTTGGACTCTATGCTCCAGTCTAAAAGAGTAGAGAATTGACTAGTCACAAAGGAGATATGTTTTATTAATATAAATGAATCATTATTTTGCTCACTTCAGAAATGAATTTTATTACAGGAAATTATGTCCATTGCTGCCAAAAAGAATTAATAAAACACAGTAATTAGTGGAAACCACAGTATTTCAAAAGCACTGGTGAGAGAGAGCCTGTGTACTTTGGAACTTCAAGAATTCAAGTTCATCAAAGGAATCTGGGTGCATATATGTTATTTAGAGACAAGGACGGACTCTTCAATAATTGGGTCAACAGGTAATGTCCAATCACCTCACCTTAATGATGTTCACAAGGAATTCACCAGGGCTATCCAGACTGCCTTTCACTAAGGAACCACTGAGGGAAAGTGAGGATTTCAGAGATTTTAAAGAGCTTGAGTTGGAACCAAACACCTCTTTCATGCTCACACTACCTCTCTTCGTCTTCCTCTTCCTCCCCCTTCCCCTCTTCTTGTCCTCTCTTTCTCTCACTCACTCACTCACACACACACAAACACCACACACATTCTCTTCCTCTCCCCACTTCTAATGTTTCCAGTAAAGTTGAGAAAATCCTTCTTTCCAGTGTTAAACCCATCTTTATGCTGATAAAGTAAACGCCTTTGGGGAGCCTACTTGTACATATATGTCTCTACAACTCAGAAAGCTGTTTTGCTTAAATTTAATGTTTTACATTTCAAATTCTTTTAGATGTGCATATAGCTCAACCTGCCCATGCTCACAGTGAGCCCCCACCAAAGGCTGTTTGTTCAATAACTGAGCACATTCCTTTGTACAAATGTTCTTTCTCTAATACAAACTCGAGAGGAAAACTTCTCCCTGATTATTTAACTCCCTAACTTTATTCAACCAGGTATATTTCAAGAAACAGACTGAGACTTTCTATGGAAGAGCTTTGCTCCATTTCCAAATACTGCCATACTTAAGATGTGAAGACATTCTTCAGAGCTGTACTTCAGGTTCTGATCAAATATCTAACATCTATGACCAAGTGCAAACATTTATTTTATTTTATTTTATTTTTTAATTATTTTATTATTTTATTTTTTTCTATTTTTTTATTTTATTTATTTTATTTTATTTATTTTATTTAATTATTTTATTTTATTTTTTTAAATTTAATTTAATTTAATTTTATTATTTTATTTTATTATTTTATTATTTTATTTTATTATTTTATTTTATTTTTATTTTATTTTATTTTAGAATAGTTTATTGATTTTTAGAGAGGAAGGGAGAGGGAGAGAGAGAAACATCAATGTGAGAGTGAAACACCAATCAGCTGCCTCCTGCAAGACCCCTACCAGGATCCGACCAGCAACCCCGGCATGTGCCCTTGACGGGAAACTGAACCAGCAGCCTTTTTGGTGTACAGGACAACCCCAACCAACTGAGCGACACAGGCCAGGGCAACCAAGCGCAAACATTTAAAAATGATAAATTGTGGGACTTGTATTTTTTTCTACACGTAAATGTTTAATGGATTTAAAAGTAGTTTTTAATAGGAATCTGACTGTCCATTGGCCATTATACTATTCATTGAACTTTAAAATATGAAGGAGAGCTCCCTATTGCTGGAGAAGAAAAGTGCCCCGGATCCCTTCAGGACTTTCGGTCTTTTGGGCACGACACAAATCCAGTGAGGGAAAGAGAAAAATCTCCTGGATTCCTGCAGGATTAATTTATTAAAATAGGAAATAACAGAAAAATATTCAACATGCAAAAGTCTTGTGAAGAAAATGAAGGAAAACCACAGAACATGTCAAAGGCCGAGGAAGACCACCCATCAGAAGAAGCACCACAGGAGGCAGAAGGAAATCCTCAACCTTGCAAAGGTGTAAGCCAGGAAGCAGGAAACCTTAGGAGCGGGCGACTAACCTGTCCAGGGATCTAAAGAGGACACTCCCGGCAGGCATTTGGACCCTGAAGAAATGCGAAGAGGAGGTGATGAGTTGGAAAGGCTTAGGGAAGAAATAAGGAGAGTAAGAAACAAGTTTGTGATGATGCATTGGAAGCAAAGACATTCACACAGGGGACCTTATCCTGTGTGCTTTAGGCCTTGAATTCTTTTTTTACCTGATAGTAAAATATGGCCCTTGCTTTCTTTCTGTTAGCATTTGCTGACATATCTTTTACCCTCGATTTACTTTTAATCATCTGGTGGAATTTTGTTTTAAATAGTTTCCTTGTTAACCAGCATCTTACTGGATTTTGTATTTTGACTCATTCTCCAGGTCTATTTTTCATCTGGGAATTTTCACATAAATGCATGAAAATATGTCCATCCTATACTGTAAAGTAACATAAGTTACAAAGCATATTTAGTATTAGCTCACATATGAAGGATAAAAATTCCAAATTGTGTGTTTGCGTGCATATGTGTACACATACATACATACATCAAAAACTTAACTGCGCTTATTTCTGTATGGTGTGAATTTTCTTTTTGTTTATATGTATTTTTTAATGAACTCATGTCACAGACAGAATTAAAATATTTTAATAAGAAAATAAAATAATTTACAACCAGCTTATAAGGGCAATCGGGGCACCCAAACTCTTGATGAAATAACTATTAAAATGTAAACCTCAAGTCACCTCTGGCCAGAGGAATAAAACTGGCAATTATTACAGACAAAAAATAAAAATTTTAAAAAATTAATTAATTAAATAAATAAAACATTAAGGAATTTTAGCTGTCCATCATATCATGAAGGAAGTGCCCAGGAATTCTTAAAACACAAAAACTGAATGAACTATCTCAGAAGCTCCCTAATCCAAACACAGGCTAATCAAGGAATTCAAACATCAGATAAGCTGGTCTAGACAAAGTGATTCTGAAACCTGACTATAAAAGAATCATTTGGGAAAGCTTTTTAAATCCTGGGTCTTTCCATGTCATAGTTCAGAATTTTTTAATTCTCAGACTATTAATTTGAACTGTTAACTGATATACCATAATTTCTATCTATATGTTTGACCCAAATAATAAGAGCCCTAAAATATTTATTTCTTCTTAAATTTAGATTGGAAACACTGTTGTTCATTAACCAATGGTACTATATGTAATCTTATCATCTTATTCCCAATCTAATGAGGACTAAAGTTTCAGACTGAGTACCAGAAGCGCCCTCTAAGTTAAGCCCTGGAAAATAGTTTCTAGTCTTTAACACTTGCCTACATCTTATGGGACAACAAAACAAATTTATTTTGTAAAGAATTTTTATAATCTGATCAGTAAAACAATAATTTTCTTCTATATCATGCTATTCTTGCCAAATGTCCATTACTTATAACTCTACCCAATATTTGCATGGAAATACAGTGCACCTGGAGGAAGTCCAAAATTGACTGTCTCCTTTACAGTTCCATTCTGCAAACTGAAAACATAAATGATGATTTAATATCTCTCAATACTAGGAAAAGCGATGACCTAAGTCTTTCACATTTAAGGTACAAGCATGTTTCTAGCTTTAAAGTTTGAGGTCATTATAAATTGCAAAATTATAGGAGGCACATAGCACAAAAATCCAAAGTAGCCAAGTATTTTTCTTTGTGTTTTTAATGGTTCTCCAAAAGATTAGTATTGGATATCTTTAAAGAATTACTCTTCTAATTTGAAAACAATTAAGAAAGGACAAAACAATTATTTGAAAAAAATGAAATATTTTATTTAGTTTACCTAAGTGAAACTACTATATTTCTTTGGCTTTGAAAGAGTAAATACCAGGTAATCAAGAAAATTACTTCAGGTGATGGCTGGTGGTCATTTCCCTACCTAACAATGGCAATAATAAGTTTCTCATCCTCCAAACCCCACTCGGTTTTCATTATAAAAGCATCCGAATAGGCAATCAGAGAGTATTACCATAAAAGAGATAACTGACTAGGCCAAGCAAACTGCTGGTAGAGGGGAACATACCAATGAGGACATGTACAGAGTGGATTCATCAGTTACTGTAGCAATAAGCCCAATGCCCTTAACAAACAGTAAGTGCCTTTCACTTTAAACAATGACTGAAATATTAAGGTGGCTTAATTCAAACTCCACTCCATCTCATTTAAATGAACGAGAGACAAAAAGGCTTTCCTCCCATCTGTAGGATCCAGATCGGAAGGGTTTTAGACAGGAAGAAAGGGCATCACCTCCTTTTCATCATGAATACCAGTCTGCTAGCGCAGCTGCTCTTGAGCCCATGATGTTTAGCCTATTATCTAGCTGAGGGCTCTGCTAGACACAGTAGCTTCTCCTCTAGAAGAAAGAAATCAAAACAGGGCCCTCACGAGGACTATCTGGCTGCTTTCTGTGCTACTTCTGCCCTTTCCTGGGAGAAAGAGAGAACAGAGAAGGGACTCTGATGGCTCCCCTCTCAACTGCTCAGTCTTTGCCCTTCTACGATAAATACTTTCCAAAGGTTTCATTCCTGCATTAATCTTTACTTGATAAAGTGAAGGGGAACTTTTTCATAACTCAATCCTATCAAAATAAACTCACTATCCACTACTCCCCACTACACAATATATACTTATATTGCTGCTTATCCACAGTATAAATATTCTGTCCATAAATTTGATGACAGTACAATTTTGCCTTGTAATAGTGTGGATTTTCATTAATTTGACTGTACTACTAGTATATTAGCTTGCAAATTTAGAGGGCAGAAATACTTACTTTGTGTTTCATCTTTTGCAAGCCACTAATTCACAATCAGTGATGACCACGAAGAGAAGCTGTTCTGGGTATTTTCTGCTCTGCACTTCCTTTCCTTCCCAAGCTCTCCTCCCCTCTCTGTTCCGATCAGTGCCTGCCTGGGTAGCTGACCTCTGTGGACTCTATCACCTGAGTTTCCTTACCCTCTGGCTTCCAAAAGGGATCTGCCACTAGGAGGTATCGGCAGAATATAAGACCGTGGGAGGAGAAAAGGGTTGGAGTATTATTTCCTGCCTCACACTGCCTGCCTTGCAGGAGTTTTGGCCTTCGCTGTGTTGCTCTGCGGCCACAGGCCCAGCAGGCAGGGCCTCTTCCATGGCGCCAGCAGTTGCCAGGCTGCACTGACACAGCGCACTCCCTTGTCCCTACTATCGTTGGTCTCTGCGTACTTCACCATCCTTGCCGGTTTCCTTGATGCTGCCCACAGCTCTGTAACCAGTCCCGTCATTAAACTCTGTTCTGTTCACTCCTTTTAAGGTGTGTCATCTGTACCTGCCTAATGTAGCACCTTAATATAAATAACTTACTAAATTCTCCAGTCTCTCAAAAGAAGAAATATGCTTCCCATGAAGCATGGGAAGCACAAATTCTTCACTTAATTCCAATAGTTAGAATCAAATTAAGATAGTCTTCAGACAGTCACATACAGAGGAACTCAGCTGAAGCAAAGGGAGAGAAAAATCTATTTTAAGTAGTACCTATTAAAATTCAAATACTAGCACAGTGTGTATATTTTCAAAAATGTCAATGAACTTATAATGTTCCTCAAATAAATACTAATCCTCTTCTATAATGGAAGAGCAGTTAGGTGTTCAGTAATTCCTAAGAGTTCATCACTATGCATTAAAGACAAGCCAGAAGTCAACCCTGGAATCTACCCAACTCAGTACGTGGCAACAGCTAATTTACAAGCTAAACAAACAACAAGCAAAACCCCAACAAACTGTGTCAGCAAGAAAATTAAAAGCAGTAAGAAAAATAATAAAACAAAACCAGCACTGACAACTCTACCTTTTCCCCTTGACAAGTTCAATAAAATAAGAGCAAATCCAAAGATTGTAATTGGTCATTTCCCATCCTTATTGTGTCTCCCTTCCCTCCAGGCGTTACTGCAACTGCTAGGTGCTTGTGGCATGTAATGACTCGGTAGTCCATGCAAGCTCAGATTTAAACCATTAGCCACTAATATTGCTGTCAACACATTTATCACTGTTGTTGCTACATAACATGTTTAACACAAATAAGAGGATAATTTTTTTCCCTTTGAAATTTCTTCTTATAATAGGCCTGTCATCCAGCCTATGGAACACATACAAAAAGTTGCTAATTAGCATTCAGAGAGAGGATCTTTTCACTTATGCGGGTCCACCTCCATTAATTTTCCAAAAGGATGTCTCTTTCCAAGTATAAAACATTTCATTTCATTCTCAACATGGCTTGGAGAAAAAGGCAAGTTGATATAAAGACTCTTTCTAATTCAGAGCATTTCACCACCCCACCCCCACAAAAACACTCTTTTAGAGTGTTCAAGTAGTTTCTAAAAAATACCATGCATTCACATGGAGCTTTTAAATTCATTCTCTCATTTGATCCTTCTAAGTCTGCGGGACGGTCAGGTGTTCCTCAGGAAAGGATAAAAAGTCAGAGAGGTAGGCAGTACCTGGCTAAACATCCTTGCAAGTAAATAAGAGAATTTCTTATTTTCTCACGATGGAGTACTGCTAGCGATTCCCACCAGTGATTTAATACAGAGCCTGCATGAAACCACATAGCAAGTGCCCACATGCATAAATATCTCAGAAACCAAAACAAAGTTAATACTAAAAGGTATCAACTGACCACGAGGATATTATATATAGTACAGGAAAAAGAATAGCATAAATAAATCTAAACTGAAATGTAAGTATTTTTCTCTCAAGGGGAGAGGGCCATAAAATATATGTTTTTAATAAATGCTTTCTTTAACGTAGACATCAAACAAACAAACACTCCTGAGTAAAAGCAGTTGGGGTCAGAGAGATCACAGGAATGAGTTAGCAGGATGGTAAGAGAGATAAGGGGGGACAGATCTGGTCAAATGAACAATGGTAACTAGTCAACTAGCTTTGCCATTTACTCAACCAATATCAACTGTACAGCTCATTGCCCAAAGTACTCTAAGAAATACTATGATGAAGAGGGGGGAAAAATCTTCCATTCAAGCAGCTTACAGCCTAGTTGGGAAGATAATACATACACGCAGGCAAAACATTCACTGAGTCAACATTTCCTGAGTGGTTACAGGAAGGCACTGAGTTTGGCACTGTGAGAAATACAAAAATGAATGAAACAGACACTTGGCCCTTCAGGGAGTAACAGTCTGGTACAGAAGATAACACGGTTATGCAGGTTTTGAATGGAGAACTTGAGTACATCTAAATAAAATTCTACGTGAATTTCAAGGAGGAAGAAAGGATTCCTAACTAGAGGTCTGGGGAAGGTGGCAAGGAGTAACATGTGAAATAAAAGGTATGCAGGATTTGGGTGCCCACTGACTGGGGAGGAAAGACATTCCAAGTGAGGGTCAAATGTAAAGACAGAGACTTTGGAAAGTAAAGGGAAGAGAAACAGGTGAGTACATACGGTTCAAGGGAGGGGTCCCAGGTTGTGTGAAAGTTCAGTGGGAAGGCTAGGGAAGTAAATTCAAGGGGAACTCAAATGGGAGTCTAAGAAGCTTATGTGGTTTACAGTACATGGGACATAAGAAAAGGTAGCACATAGGCTATCAAGAAGAATTCTAAAGGCAACGATACGAGGAAAGGAAATTAGGTTCATAATTAGAGAGTAGATAATTTCACTTAGGCCTAGAAAGGCAAAATGATTCTGACAAGCTGTTCCATGTTATATAAATTGATGAAAGCCATGATTCAAATCAGGGCAGCAATTATTTGGTTGGTACCCTTCCCTCTATGTCCTTGGAACTGGCTTAATTTTGGTATTTTCTTAGCTATGTTAGCTATGAAATTACATTGGCCTGACTGAAACCAAACCTCAGGAACTAAGCCTTTAACAAACATACACACAGACAATCACATGCACACCCCCCCCACGCTCACCCCCCGTTAGCTCCCCCTCACATCCTTTTTGGTAAGATACTTTTATTTTTTGCTATTTTTTTCTAATTATAAAATTAATTCATGGTTCAGTCAAAATTCTAGTCTTTTCATTGACATTAATTTTAATATTGATATAAAAACTCATAATATGAGTGTACTGACAGCGGCAACTCCATACTGAGAGCCAGTGAGCCTGGAAACTAGCCAGATGCCCAAGACAAGCACGATCAGCTCAAAGACAATATTGGTCTTTCCAAGAATCATTTGGGACTCTACTCCTAAATGTCAAAGGAGATTACTTCTAGACCACCTTCAGACCTTCCTTAGAATGTATGCCTTAAAGAGGCCCAAAGGAATCTCTTAAGAGTCAAAAAAACAACAAAACAAAACAAAGCAAAAAAACCTGAATATAGTAAACACTAACACAGACCGTTGGTCGGATACTCAGCACACAGAGGTGCACAGGTTTACGCATATTCATAGACAAAGTTATTTTTATCAAAGAACATCTAGAGTAGAATAATTTCAACCTAAATGGGTTTGAATGGACTAGAACTAAACTCAGAAAACCAATGAGTCAGTGCTTATAGCTGTTTTTGAATTTGCCTTGTAGGGCTTCCAGTTCTCACAGAAAGACCCCTACCACAGAAAACCAAACCAAACCAATGAGACAAATATTGTTGGGTTCCGTATGAGGGCAGGTTGATGTAGAGGCTAAGAGCACAAACTATAAACTCAACCAGAACTGGTATGAACCTCAGCTATGACCAACTGCAACTGTGTGACCTTGGGAACGCTACTTAATCCTTCAAAGATTTAAGAAAATACAGATAACACCTGTGATAATTAAAAAACTAATAAATGGGAGACTATCATTAAATGGCAGTTTATTAATAATAAGCAATCATCACCAATTTACACAGACATCTTCTGTCCTTAAAGAATTAGTACTTTCGCCCAGCCACACGTGGCTCAGCGGTTGAGCGTCGACGCAGGATCCAGGCGATCAGGGTTCGATTCCCGGTCAGGGCACATGCCCGGGTTGCGGGCTCGATCCCCAGTCGGGGGCGTGCAGGAGGCAGCCGATCAGTGACTCTCTCACCACTGATGTTTCTATCTCTCTCTCCCTTCCTCTCTCTGAAATCAATAAAGATATATTAAAAAAAAAAAAAAATAGTACTTTCTATTTACTTTTGTCAATTATAAAAATATACATGTTTATTATAGGAAATTTTGAAAATACGGAAGTAATAATTTTACTTGGATAGTCCAGACATAACTAAGTTTGTGTATTTTCAAAAGCTTCTATAGTACTTGGCCCTATTTTTTTTTTTTTAATGGACCAGATTTGGGAAGTGAAATATATGTAAGTTTCCATAACAGAATTATAGAACACCAGAAGTTCCATTCTCAAATTTCTTCCCCTTAGGCCAAGAAAAAGCAAAGCAGAGGGGGCATGGTGCTCTCCTGAATACTCTACAGTGTATCGTATTTATTCTTAAAGGCTCCTCTCCATGAAGTGTTTCGCAGTTCCCCTCAAACCCATGACCATTTCTTCCCTGATCCCCCATATCTCTCATACAGCACTTTTCGTACTCAACATCAGAGCTATCCATGCTCTTTTCTTACCAGCCACTCCCTCCCCCTGCCCTTCCCCTTGCTCTATCTCCTAGACCAGGGGGCTTTTAACCTGAGGACTGTGAGCCTCCTGAAATTACACATAAAATAGTATTTCTGTAGGTACAAATACACTTTTTGGAGAAAATCCACATATTCATCAAGTTCTCAAAAAAGGTTTGAGACTCACAAAAGGAATGGAACTCTAGTCTAGGGAAAGACTTGAGATTTAATTATCCTTGGATCCTCTACAGTGCTTAGCATCTGCCTCTATATAGATAAACATCTGTTGGTTTAAAATTTTACTAATAAATCATAAAGTCAGTGTTAGGTTTTTGTTTAATGCAATATTTTAAATTAATATTTTCCTCATATAATTTCCTCATTCCCTCATCTATACTGCTCCTGAGAGGACAATGGTGTTACCAGGGGTTAGGGGCAGGAGGAAACTGAGTTATTGTTTAATGGGTACACAGTTTCAGTTTGGGGATATGAGAAAGTTCAAGGAAATGGATGGTGGTGATGGTTATGTAACAATGTGAATGTATTTAATGCTATTAAACTGTTGTATATTTTACTGCAATAAAAATACTACTTTTTATTCTCATATAATATTAATCACCTATTACCAGGCAGACGCTTCATCAGATGAAAGGAATAAGAAATATACTGGTTAAATTTTAGGATATAAGGAAGAAATCCTCAAAGGAGAAGCAAATCTTAACCCCACTCTATACGCTGTTGGTTTTAGAGTATAAGCACAAATTAAAATAGGGTGATACAATCCTAAGTCCTGTTCAAACAGAGGAGCTTCTATCTGAGTAAACAAAGGTAAATTGCTTAGGGACTTGTGTATCTGTGTGAAGCAAATTAAATTTTTTCAAGGTACCAAGTCACAACTCAAGAAACAAATGATAATTTAGTTCAATTTTATCAATGTATTAGCTACATGCATAATGTAAGCATTTTGGATACCTGCAATAGGCATTTCAAAGTGTCAGGAACACATTTTATTCAATAAGCATTTAGCGAGTATTCTTAAGATTGAGAAATATAAGTCTCAAAACTTCTTTAAAAAAGAAAAAGCAGGCTTATAGTACACTGATTATAAAGAGGAAGAATTCTTTTCCTATGTTACTTCACTTGACCCCCATCTCATACTTTATAGCTTGCCTCACTAAAGAAAAAGCCTTAGACTACATTGGGTTACAAATATATTTAAACATAAAAAATTCATATTAATATGCTATATTGATGTTTCCAAACAGTATGTATATTTTATAAAAAATGTAGATTCTAAACCTTTTGATGATTAAATGTCAGTGATATCTCTTGGTTATTTATTACCCATAAATAACCAATTTGCAAAGACATTTAAATATTCCATGATTTCCCCAAAAGTCCTTATATATGAGAGATTTACAGATATTTCTTCATTAGAATCTAGGAAAGATTCACTTAGAAACAGATTTAACATAAAAGCTAACTACGAATACTGAAATTCCATATCGTAAAAAAGATAACCCTTGCTATAATGAAGTATTGTGTATTTGAAATAAGCTAATATGTTTATTGCTCTTTTGACTTTAACATTAAATAATCAGCAGAATATAAAAATTTCCCAGTTACATTCGCCAAAAAGCCAAACTTTCCTAACACGTACACTTATTCAGGAATATGTATTCGATAAACATTGCTTAGTGCCCAGCATGTATGAGTGAATATTCTGTAAGTGCTAGACAGCTGTGACTCCCCAAGCAGCCACGTTCTACCTAAACAAGACTTAAGTGCTCTTGCTTTTCTGGAGCACAGGTTTACACCACCACCTCTTCAAGTGTCTTTGTTTTTGAAAACATAATTGTTAGAAAAATTCAATTTATGAATCTGATCTCTAAAGAAAAATTTATAAATAATTATTTTTTTTAAGATATAAAAATGTTTGCCTGTCATGAAGTTTGTTTTTCTGTAAGGCAACAGCAAACCATCAAAGATAGCACAAATTACTTTAAACTTTAAGACTTACCGGAAATGGGAATATTCTGTGAGACTGATAACTGCACATCTCCAGTGCCTGGTGGCATGTCAACAACCAAATAGTCCAGGTGACCCCAGTCTACCTAAAAATCAAGATGACACAAATAACATCATTGTATAACAACTGCAGTGAAAATAAATGTATTAATAACAAATCTAAAATAATAGCTTTCACTTGAGCCATTACGAAAAGCCAGGGACTGTGCCAAGGATAGATATAAGAATAATAAATAAATGAATGAGTGAGTAAGAGACAGTCCCTGACTCTAGCAGACCTCTGAGTGATAAGGTTAAATTTCCAAATGATGCCCTCCTCCCTGGCCATACACATACACTAATGATGAACCCATTTCAGAGTGGGCTACTATGCAGGACCAATCATTTATTTTCATTGGGAATAGCCCATATTTTACCTAAGAAAGCCTTAGCTTTTTGTCCTTTGGACAAAAGCCTTGACATTTTCTATGGAAGATCCTAACAGAATTTTTTAAAGTTTACTATTTTTCCTTTATAAAACAAAAATAATGAAAACCACAAGTTAATAAGAAAATTTTAGTGATACAACTAGAGTTCCAATGCTACAATATTTTGATTCTTTCTTTCCTGATATTTTTCTAAGTACCTATATCTAGAAAATTCAGCTATATAACCAAGTCCTTAATGCTCAGCCTCAATTTAGACAGTTCTCAAGGATACCTGAGGCTCTTTCCTCCTCAAAAGGTTTCTCCCTCTGAGTCCCTAGTATCAGTGAACAGCCAGCCCCAGGATTTTCTCAGTTGCCAAAGGCAGACAGTTAGAATCATTCTTAACTCTTTCCTTTCCCTCACTACCCCAGTCACTCTGCCATCTAAAAACCTCTCAAATGTTTATTGACTTCTCTCTTTCCTGCTGCCAAGAACCCAATGGAGGCCACAACCATCCATCACTAAAGCCTCTGAACCAATCTCTCTGCTCCAGCATTGTCCATCCAGTCTGTTCTTAACACCAGTGAAAAATGGTCCACCTAAAGTGCCACTTTTTTGTTTATAACTCTTCTGTTGTTTTTAGGGTTAAGGCAGAGCTTAAGCTCCAGAACACTCTGCTTGGTTTCATCACCTGCTCATTCCTCCTCATTCTTCAGACTCCGGCCTGGAATTTCCTTCCCCTCATTTCCGTCAGATTAGGTATGGTGATACTACTGTGCACCTCTCCCAGCCACCCACCCACTCACCCACTCACCAATTCACTCACTCACTCACCCACTCACCCACTCACCAACTCACTCTCTCACCCACTCACCCACTCACTCACTCACCCACTCACCAACTCACTCACCCACTCACCCACTCACTCTCTCACCCACTCACCCACTCACTCACTCACCCACTCACTCACTCACTCACCCACTCACCCACTCACTCTCTCACCCACTCACCCACTCACTCACTCACCCACTCACTCTCTCACCCACTCACCCACTCACTCACTCACCCACTCACCAACTCACTCACCCACTCACCCACTCACTCTCTCACCCACTCACCCACTCACTCACTCACCCACTCACTCTCTCACCCACTCACCCACTCACTCACTCACCCACTCACCAACTCACTCACCCACTCACCCACTCACTCTCTCACCCACTCACCCACTCACTCACTCACCCACTCACTCTCTCACCCACTCACCCACTCACTCACTCACCCACTCACCAACTCACTCACCCACTCACCCACTCACCCACTCACCCACTCACTCTCTCACCCACTCACCCACTCACTCACTCACCCACTCACCAACTCACTCACCCACTCACCCACTCACCCACTCACCCACTCACTCTCTCACCCACTCACCCACTCACTCACTCACCCACTCACCAACTCACTCACCCACTCACCCACTCACTCTCTCACCCACTCACTCACTCACTCACTCACCCACTCACTCTCTCACCCACTCACTCACTCACCCACTCACCCACTCACCCACTCACCCACTCACTCTCTCACCCACTCACCCACTCACTCACTCACCCACTCACCAACTCACTCACCCACTCACCCACTCACTCTCTCACCCACTCACTCACTCACTCACTCACCCACTCACTCTCTCACCCACTCACCCACTCACTCACCCACTCACCCACTCACTCACTCAACCACTCACCAACTCACTCACCCACTCACTCACTCACTCTCTCACCCACTCACCCACTCACTCACTCACCCACTCACTCTCTCACCCACTCACTCACTCACCCACTCACCAACTCACTCAGCCACTCACCCACTCACTCTCTCACCCACTCACTCTCTCACCCACTCACTCACTCACCCACTCACCCACTCACTCACCCACTCACCCACTCACTCTCTCACCCACTCACCCACTCACTCACTCACCCACTCACCCACTCACTCACCCACTCACTCTCTCACCCACTCACTCACTCACCCACTCACCAACTCACTCACCCACTCACCCACTCACTCTCTCACCCACTCACCCACTCACTCACTCACCCACTCACCCACTCACTCACCCACTCACTCACTCACTCACCTACTCACTCAACAATGTTTACTGAGTACCTATTACACATAGGCACTGAGCTAGGTATTGATAATTAAGTGGTATTATGGTCCCTACCCTCACAGAATTTGTGATATACAGGGACACACACATTAAGCACATAATGAAATAACCTGTGCAAAGGAAAAAGGTTAGTAAGTGTGAGAAACTGAACAAAGATCAACATAGCTAGGGGGTAGCGATGAGGGAAAGGGCCGCATTCATTTACTGTTGTTTCATGATCTGTCTTCTCAAGAAACTGGAGTTGAATTAGAATGCTCAGCACAGAATGGACACACTGGAAATGCTTAATAACTTTTCTTTCAAGAAATGAATGAATAAATGAGCACAGGTAAAAGTTCAAGAATTTTTAAAGTGGAAATCATACTGTGTATATAATCCCATATCTTGCTTCTTAAAACTTAATAATGTGAAATAAGCCTTTTCCATATAACCATATCTTTTTTAAATTAAAATTTATATGGCATTGGGTCAAATGGACTCATTCATGTAGTAACACATTTATTCAACACATATTTATTGAGACTGGATTAGGTGTCAGGCACTGTTCCAGGTGATGGGGATAGAGCGGTGAACAAAACAAAGTCCCAGCCACCATGAAACTAACATTTTAGTGAGGGAGACAGACAGACAGACAGAAAGACAAATCAGACTAAAAAGGGCTATGAAGAAAACAACAAGTATCCATTGCTACACAAAATTATTTGGTTCCTGATTCAGATATCCAGATCAAATAGCAAAATATATTTTTATTGATTGATTTTAGAGAGAGGGGGCAGGCAGAGAAAGAGAGAGAGAGAAACATCAATTTATTGTTCCACTTATTTATGCATTCATTGGTCAATTCTTGTAAATAGCAAGAAATATTTAAAAATTTTTTCAATTCCTGAATTTCAAAAAGCAAGTACTAAGAGTTCAGATAGCAAAGGATTTATCAGAGAATTTCTTTGACTCTCCTCTGTTCCCAAAGTCAGATGGTAAAGAATACTTGAAGAGCAGGGGGGAATGGAATGGTGGAAGGTATTCCTATAGAAAGGCTGGTCAGAGCCCTGAATGAAGTGAGAATAATCGATGCAGTCATCTGAAGGCAAGCATTCCAGGCAGAAGCGACAGCAAGTGCAAAGGCCCTAAGATGGGAATATGCCTGGCACAGTCAAGGTACAGCTAGGACCACAGTACCGCCTTTCTAAAACAACATCCTCCCCAACAGCAACCTCTCCTCTTTGTTTTTCTTTGAAACATTTACAGTATCTGACATTATATAATGACTTGTCTTTTAGGAAATCAATGACATTTCTCAAACACAAGTACTTGATACTTAATGACACATTTTAAGAGAATGATGAAATGATGAACATAAAATAGTTTGTTTTCAATATAGGGTTCCTTGGTTTGAAAAATAGTTACCTCAAAGTTACCCATGACCATAATCTTACAAAACTATCTACAAACAAAGATAAAGAATACTTTTCATTTTATATCCTCTGCACTGAAACTCCTAGCACAGGCAGACTGAAAAGTATCTTTGTTTCAGAGAACATCAAATGACTGGTACTGACAATTTACCACTGTTGTTCCTTGGTATGTAATCATATTTATCAGGTTGGCGCCAATTTCTTAAAATAGAACTGTTATTAAGGCACCAAGGAACTAAAAATACTCCACTGTTAAGGCAATTAATTTCAAATGACTATTAAACTGAATTTAAACTATATGGAAAAAAAAAAAGAACCTGGCCCTAAAGCTCCTACTGTGTCTACACACAGTAGACATTCCACAAAGGTTTGCTGACTTGAACTGAACTGACATCAGTATCTGAGTTCCAGTTTTATAGAATTTATTATTACTAACATGGAAATATATCAGCTGCCATGAAGTTCCAGTTCTCTTATAAAAGAGTCATCAAAGCATTGAATTTAGAATTATTTGGGATTCTCTAGATTCTACTTAGTGTTTGTTCACTCGTATAAATTGCGTGTTACTAAATGCAGGGAAATATGTACTAGCAAAACACCCAGGTAGCTCATTTAGTAAATCCCAGTGGCAGATTTTGTGTGGCCTGAAGCACATACAATTTGGGTGGTCCTCTCTAAGAATAATACAAAATTAGGTATAAAAGTAAGTATTTATTTAGAGTGTGAAAAGAAATCGCCCTAAAATGTTGGAGACTTAGAGATTAAAGTTCCTTTCTCTGAGACCACTTGATGTGAGAGGCCTACATAGAAATGCTTCCTGGCTGCAACCTGCTTCCTCTCTACCTGGAACATTCTACAATTCCCAGCATCTGCCAGCCGCCCAGGCAAGTGTGGACACCCCGAGCTTAAGTTTCATTAGTGTCATGGTAACCCCACTTTTGATAAAACCTTCTCAGCTCCCTCTCAGGCTCCAAACTCAGAGGATCAGTCTACAGGTAGATTTACCACGGTACTTCAGAGATGTCCTGCGGATATAATGAGGTCTGAGGTTGTCTGAAGTTCAATTTGGCCGCCACGTGGGTCTCAGC